GGTGCAACTGTAGTTGCACTCACTGGGTACATCTACAAATGCAGGCGCATGCACTTGCAGCAGCTCACATAGCAGCAGCAAAAAATTGTTATGGAGATTTGTGCCTCAGCACACATGCCTGAGCATGCACTTTAGTATGGGGCAAATTGTGTCACTTGGAACAAACTGAACCTGCCCAGCTCCTACTGGATCTTCAGCCAGGGAGAGCTAGAGGGTGGCCCTAGCACCTGTGTTGGGCCCAGCAGTATAAAAAGCTGTCCTGGTGAGTAGCTCAGGGTGACTTGCCCTCAGGAGCTTCTGAGTCCTGGCTAATTGGTGTCTAGGGACACTAGCCCCTTGGGCCAGATGGACTGATGAAGCAGCCCTGACCTAGAGCGGCCCCTGCACCCTCTACCCACTTGGCTCTGGTACAGGCTCTGCAGCAGAACTTCCTGTACCTTTGTGCCAGCTGCCAGTGGGCCGTAGCTACACAGTTGGCCTTTGGGCAGCACTGTTGGTCTTCTGGTGTCCCCACTCTGCCATCTGGGCAGCTATTGCCCAGCAGATGTGATCCTTGTGGTGGCCCAATTCAAACTGTCAAAGCATGTCTTATTGGCCTCAAATGGCTAGGGAGTCAGCCACCTCATTTGCCCTTCAGCTCGGTCGCCAGTGCTGGCTGTGGGCAGACTCTTCTGCCTGGGTCCAGTCACTTGCCTCACCAGAATTCCCTGGTGTTTAACTAAAAATTCCCTGGTTTAAAAATAAAAAACAAATCATCGTATCTTATTAAATACTCAAAATCCATGAACCCCCATCTCTCTCTCACACACACCCCTGCTTCCACATCCACCCCTCCCCACAGCCCATCACACCTATGACAGGCCAGGGCCCCATGTCCCAGCACCGGTGTGGGCATGGGGCAGGGCTGCAATTTGGCAGTTGCCCCTGCAGCTGCAACTCTCACCAGCAGGTCCTGTCCCATCTGGCAGCTAGGCACACTGGGTGTGAGATGTGTGGGGGGATGTGGGGCTTGGCAAGCAGCAGCAGTGGCCATGGGGTCGCAGGGCCATCTCAGACCAGTGGCTGCACATGGCACTGGCCTGGCCTCACCCAGTCCACATGCCCTTGGACAGAACCAGGCCAGCTCCTGCTGTCAACCTGCAGCTGTCAGCACTGCACACAGAAGCAGCACACCCCTGGGCCCGGCTGGGTCCTGCCCCCACATGCCCTGTACGCCACTGGGCCAGGCTGACTCCATGCAGGCAGAACCCAGCCCAAAGGCGTACAGCCCCTGGTTCTGTTGCTGGAAGCCACAGGTGACAGCAGGAGCTCGCCTAGTTTTGTATGAGGGCGTGCAGGCTGGGCTGGGCTGGTGCCATGTGCAGCTGCCAGTCTGAGGCTGTGCCATGTCACTGGGGGTCTCTGCCAGGAGTGGACATGAGCACCCTGACATCCTCTGCTGCTGCTTTGGGGGCCCAACCCTCCAGAGCAGTCCCCCCACTCTTACATGATCCCCCCCACAGTTCTCCCCACCCCTACACGCCCTACCCCCCCATCATGTTTCTACTTACCTGGGACAGCACCTGAGTCCAAGACTGCTGCACCTTTGCCTCACTCCTATTTGCCTCAGCATGCTGACACAGTGTGTTGGAATAGCAGTGGAAGGGGGCAGGCTTAGAGACACTCTGGCCAGGTGCCAGATCATCTCTTTGGAAGACCCAACCTCTAGTTGACTCAGGGCACACTCCAGGAGCATTCCCTGCACTGCTTTTTCCCAGCAAGGTGTTTTTGTTTTTTTTGTTTTTTGATAGCAAGATTTTCTGGTATCAAAATTAGAGTCCGCACTGCAAATATGCAGTGAAGGGAACTTTTTTTTCATTCTCAGCATGCCTCTTGTGGCATCTCAAACTGCTTTGAGATGCCACAACAGGCACATGCTCACTTATCTGGACACAGCCACTAGATGCATCTACATGTACACTTTACTGCAGAGTAGATTAATTAGCTCTGCAGTAAAGTGTCACCATCTATATGTGTTCCAGTATCAGGGTACAGTAAACGAATTAACTCTTCCATAGGATAGCACTGTTGGGGACTACTATCTTATGGTGGAGTACTTCACTGTGCCAAAACACACATGTAGACAGTGATCAGAGGTGTAAATTGTGCCCAGTAAGCCCAGCCAGCTGGGGGCCTGCTCTCCCCTGGCTCAAATTGCTTCTGTCCTTGGTGCACATGTAGATGTTGCCCCCAGGAACTGCTCTGGAATCTATTGTGTTACATCAACTGTACGTATAGTTGCACCCACTGATAATTAAGGATAAAATTCATAGTGCCATCTTCTGATCCCCATCCCCTCCCCAGATGTTGTGTTAGAACAATTTTATCCTACAAACAACAAACAACTTGATATCACATTTTAAACACTATTGCAAATATTTTTCTTGGATATATAAGTTATGTAATAATATGTACATAAGGACCATATACTAGTATAAATAACCAGCTGCATGGTTACTGTGATACTCAAGCTAGGTACAGATGTTTGGGGAGGTTAGATTGCATTAAAATAGCCATCCAGTGGCTATTTTAGATTAACCTAACTAGGGATCTTAAGTATGAACTGTCAGAAATTCAGGAAGTTTACACTGGTCTAAAAAATGGCTGACCCAATCTAAATGAATTGTACTACAGAGGTAGTCTAACTTAGATCAGGTTCAGTGAGACCATCTAACTGAATTTCTCTACAGTTCTCAGTGCAGCTCTGGGGCTGTGAAAGACCAGCCACTGGCCCCTGCTCTGGGGCTGCACTTTTCCTACCCACCTTCATGGCACCAGACTACGTTTAGCCCTCCAGTCCCTCACTCCTCCTCTAAATGAACAACCTCCTGATGGACCAGCCAACCCCCCACCCCCAAGCCCACAAAACCCACCATCCTGCAAGTTTGTCCCTGTGCCAGTTTTGCCAGCATTTGCTGGTGCCAGGAGTTGATCAATTTGTGTGGCCTGGGCAGGCAGGATGTGGGGGGTTGTTTGTGGGTGAGGTGGTGGGGATCTAAAAACAGCTCCTGGTCATGAGGGCTGAAGAGAGTTTCCCATCCCCCCCCTGCCCCCCAGACCCAAATAGCACTTCCAATCCCTCCAAGCCCTGTGTGGACTCTGCTTGCCACCTCAATCCCATCAAGCCCCCTGTGGATTCTGTTAGCCCCGCCAGTCTCCCAAATCTCCCCTGCAGATGCTACTTGCCCCTGATCCTTCCAAGCCCCCTGCCCCCCACTGGTCTCTTATCATGACTTACCTTAGATCAGATGGCCCTCAATCTAAGCTCCCCTTCTTAACCTTTTTAACTCAGTCTTACCTCCTCTTAACCTTCCTGAATGTCTGTATGTATGCTCATGGTTTTGTTCCTATCTTGTGATTGTAGACACTTTTAAAAGAATATTCTCTAATATTACTAATTACATCTTTATACAATTTTGAAAAATAATTACTCTTGCATTGAACTTTAATTAAATTAAATGGCCTATTAAAGTTTTGAGTAGTAGATAAAATAACAAGCATAGAGGGCTAGATGTAAATTAGCACACTTATAATAGCTATAAAGTCAAACACAATATATATTAAGAGTCAGCTCAATGTCAAGCAAAATTTACAGTATTATTACTGCTTAGTGTAACTCTATAAGTGTAATTACAAATTACTGTTGTGCTTTTGAATCTAATGCGTGATCTTTATATGTGAAGCTATAAGTATTAAATGCAAATGACACCAAGCTGGGGGGCATAGATACGTTGGAGGGTAGAACCCTAGTGCTAGGATTCAGAGTGCTCTAGACATATTGGGGGATTGGGTCAAAAGGAATCTCATGAGGTTCAACAAGGACAAGTGAAAAATCCTGCACTTAGGACAGAATAATCCCATGCAACAATACAGGCTGGGTGTAGATTGCCTGGGCAGCAGCTCTACAAAAAAGGACCTGCGGGTTACAGTGGACAATAAACTGAGCATGAGCCACCAGTGTTTCCAGAGAAGCCTGCATGTGCCTCTTGCAGCATGTCAAAGAAGTTTGAGACACCACAAGAGGCATGCTGGGAACAAAAAGAAATGTTCTCTGCAGATTTGCAGTGTGGGCTCCAAAATTCAATACCTGGAAATCCAGGTATCAAAAATAAATAAATAAATAAAAAGAGCCCACAGAATAAAAGTAGGGTAAGATATGGTCCCAGAACATGCCTTGAGGCAACCAGGAAACCAGTAGGTAGAGAGTGCAGGGAAATCTAGGTTAGGACTTCTTTAACAGTACAGGTGGCACAAGGGGCTAGTGTCCCCAGATACCAATTGGCCAGGCCCCAGAAGCTCCCAAGAGCAAGTAGCTTGTCAGGGCAGCTTTTTATACCACTGTGGCCAGCATAGGACAGGTTTCTATACTGCTGGGGCCAGCATAGGTGCTGGCCCCAGGCTTTAGCTCCCTCTGGATGCAGATCCAGGAGGAGCAGGGCAGGGTCATTTTGCCCCTGGTGGCAAATCTTGTCCCACACCAAAGTGCATGTCCAGGCACGTGCACTGCGGCAAAAATCCCTAGCCCAAATTTGTGCCATTCCTATTTGAGCTGCTGCAAGTGTACATGCCTGCATGTGTGGACATGCCCAAGAAAACTAATGGCATATGGGGCTGCATTTGTAGTATTGATGCCAGGAAAAGGAAGTGATTATTCTCCTCTATTCAGTACTGGTGAGGCCACATCTGGAGTGCTGTGTTCAGTTTTGGGCCCCCCACTACAGAAAGAATGTAGAGAAATTGGAGAAAGTCCAGCGGAGGCCAACAAAAATGATCCAGGGGACGGGGCACATGATTTATGAGGAGAGTTCTGTTGGAATTGGGCTTGTTTAATCTACAGAAGAGATGACTGAGGAGATTTAGTAGTAACCTTTAACTACCTGAAGTGGGGTTCAAAAGAGGATGGAGCTAGACTGTTCTCAGTGGTGGCACATGACAGAACAAGGAGCAACAGTCCGAAGTTATGGCAAGGGAAGCTTAGGTTAGATATTAGGAAGAATTTTCTCACTAGGAGGGTAGTAAAATACTGGAACACATTATCCAGAAAGGCTGTGGACTCTCTAGGTTTTTAAGACCCGGATAGAAAATCCCTTGGCTGGAATGATTTAGTTGTGGATGGTCCTGCTTTGAGCAGGGGGTTGGATTAGATAATCTCCAGAGGTCCCTTCCAACCCTTATTTTCTATGATCCTATGATTGTGCCCATATCTAAAACTATGCTACTGGAATCCAAGAATAATACAAAATGATACTAAAACTGACCCTTGAGTCTGACTTCTGATCATGCCTCTGTCAAGTATTTCAGTATCTGAAGGAAGCAGTTGATGCCACCTGCTCTCTATGATGGCCAAAAGGAAACTTGAACATCTATGATACAGGCAATTATGGAAACATGGGAAGACATCCTATCAATAACAAAATTGTCCAGTTTTATATTGTCTAATAGCAAAGTAATTGAATATTTGGGGTTCCAGTTCCAAGAAGCTGAGGGATTATTAACAAAGAAATATATCAAGAGCATTGTGGTAGAAACACAGCTTGCTGAAATTTTGACCATGCTGATCCTAGAAATTATGCAAAACAATGAGTAATGACCAACAATAAAACAAAGATTGTATTCCTAGCAGATTTTCAATGTGAAGACACTGCAAATCCTCCAATGTTTCCTAGAGACAATAATAAAACTAAATTTCATAGTACGAAAATGCTTCTTTTAAAATACTGGATCTGTAGCTATCATAATAACCTGTGGCATCCATCATGAGAACAGTCTCTGGATTGTGGGAGACTTTGTAGAGTCTGATTTCAAAGTTATACTACAAGTGGGGGAAAAGGAAGATTGTTCTTAAGCTATAGCAACATTTCTACTGGAAGAAATGCTTTCAATAACTACTGGAAAACTTCAACCTGAAGATGCTTAAATGTAAATAGAAAGTGGGAGTTTTAGGGTCTCATTGATAGAAAAACCAGAGAAAGGTTTGATTTAATTATTCATGTCCTGGGAACTGCAATATTCATAGAGTGAAGATTGTAGGGACACCAGTAGTTGCATGATTTATAGTTCCAAGTTCAAGCCAAGATCTTAATACTGTACCTTAAAAATACAAGATGATAAGTATAACCTTTATTCCCTAATTAACACAGTGAAAAACCAGGAAGGACTTATTGTGACTTAGCTGTGTATTTAAGAAAATAGGCAATGTATGCTACCTTTATACTATTTAATTACTTAATATCATACTTTTAATATCTTTCTCCTCTGGTGCTTATTTCTTAAATTATAATTTAACTGAGTGATTTATTCTTACTAATAATGTTTATTTTTAAACATGTTCATGTGAAGCCATACCTAATTTTATCATTTAGTTAGACTATTTTGTGAGGAAAATGATTATTATACAATAATTTTACATCAATCAGTCCATGTGTATTGCTATAAAACCATTTTATTTTTCTTATAAGTGCTTTTTCTCTTCAGACCAAGAGTTAGGCTGCCAGAGAATCCCCTCTTTTGAACACCAATTTACATGGGGATATTTTTGCTGTATCAGTAATTTGTACAATAAACAGATGGAATTTAGGCAGGCAAAATGTACAAATATTTAGAGTGAATATAAAAATATTCAGTCTTTTTCCAAGAACTATATTAAATTGATGCACCAGAACTGAGATTATTGATATATCTAAGAAATGTTTGTGACATTCTGGATACCAGTACTGAAAATGAGATGAGAATTTCCTTGTAGAATTTTAATCTCTGCACAATAAAAAAATATATCTCTTCATCTTCTGTCCTCCTTTTTATTTTCTATTCTTTTTCTTTATTCTTGTCTCATTTTCACTTTCTATTGTTTTCCTTTTTATCCTATTTTCCCTGCTCCTATAATCGTATTTCCTCTTTAGAAGATTTCCTAAATGAATTTCATTGCCACTGCCAGACCACCTTTTTAAAAAGGAAAAGCAGAGCTAGATGCCTAGTCCCCAGTGAAAGTCTGGCTGATAACAGCATGGTACCTTGGGCACTCTGAGAAATTCAGACATACAGATTTGATAACCGACCTGTTGAGGTGAGCCAGAAGTCCATGTCTCGAGCTTCCTATTGGAGTATTTTAACTACCAAATTATTTTACAAAAAGGTCAGTGTCACCAAATTCACAATGCTTACTGTAAGAATAATTAGAAGCTCAGAATGAAGTGAACTAAGATGCTTGATTCAGTGTTATATAATTAGCTAAGATCCAGAGTACAGGAGGACCATTTTGCTTTTTTTTGTTTGTTTGTTTGTTTTGTTACTTGGGTACTCTAAATTGCCCTTCAGAGTCTCCTCTCTCTTCTCATTCCTATATAGGGGAAATTGGGCATCTAGCTCTCTCTGTTGATTTTATAAGGAAATAAAATTTACATTGTTCTTTGGATATATGTAACTGCTGGCAAACCGAACATAGCCAAGCTCGTTGTCAAACAACCACTAATCGCATTGATGATATCACAGATTTGCAAAGTCTTTCTGTGTATTCATGGCAAAGTTAGCATAATAGAGAATAAATTGAGTTTGATGTT